CCCCCCCCCCCCCCCCCCCCCCCCCCCCCCGCCCCCTCCGCTACCCCCCAGTGACTCAGAGCACTGGGGTGTGTGTGCAGGCTGGAAGGGGCATCCCAGAGCTGAGCGTTAGCAGCCCTCTGTAAATGCTGGCTGGGCCAGCTCAGCTGGGAGGAAAATCAGGAATCTGGGAATGACTCTTTGCTCCCACATGGGAATCAAGTGCCCAGAAGAAGTGGGCAGATGCCTACCTTGAAATATCACTTACAAGGGTTGGTCTTTAATGGGAGGATTTTCAGTCATAAAGCCCCTTATTTAAAAGGATTTGCTGTCTGGGTTTTTGCGTATAAGGATTGGCATTTCCCTAAGGGTCTCTTTCCTACTGAAGTTGTGTTTTCAAAAGTCAGTGGATGGGACCTCTCCCGTCTTCTTGGAGCATAGCCTTCCTGTGAAAGCTTAGCTGGTTTCCAAGGCTCTGGCCAGGCTCCTGTCTCCAAGGAAGCTGGCCTCATCCGGGCGGGGAGCTGTTGCGGCTGGGAACTGGGGACACTACCCGCGTTTGCTCCTACCATGTTTACTCATCCCCTAGGATCGGGACGTTATTAACATCTCAGTTCTCTCATAGTTCTATTTTTACTAAAAAGAGTTAAAGCTTACCATGCCCTGATTTTTAAACAAGACCGTGAAGTTTTTAAACTAACCTCTAACCTTTTTCTCAACTGCTCCAACTCTTCTTTCCCTTATCCTTGTTATGGTTCCCTCTATGCTTTGATTTTCCCTTTTCCATTTTTAATATAGTTCTCCACAAGCAAGAAGGATAAAGTAGACAGAGGGGTCTTGCCACTTTTCTCTTTTCTCACCCATGGGATTCCTTTCTTTCATCCTTATTTCTTTATTTTTTAAAATCTCTCTCACACATCTAATAATCTCAAAATTATTTTGTTTCTTAGACTCTTATTTTTTTCCTTGCAATGCCTAGCATGGTGCTTTGCGTAGGGAACGTGCTTGCTGAGTATTTGTAGAGTGGAAATGGTTGAATCGAATGCCCACTCTCCTGACTGTTTTCTGTCGGTTTGTGCTTGCCTTAACCACGGACTCTCTACCTTTAAATCTGCAACTAATTCCTCGTTGTGCTGTAAGGATCCAGGGAAGGGCAGCCACGCTGTTTTACTTCCTGTGTCTTTTGTACTAAGAGATTTCCCCCGACCCCTTCCAAGAACTTGTTTGATGATCTGTGGCCTGCTATATTGCTTTTCCAGCAGATAACTGGGTAGTTAAAGTCCCTCAACACCACCAGATCCTGCCCCAAGGCCACTTGGGTAAGTCTACCAAAGTACAGCGATCACATCGGGAATGGTGATAATACCTTGGATTTTAATGGCGCTTTTCCTTCCGAGAGCCCAAGTGCTTCCGCATAGATCACTTCTTCCTGTGCTCCCGCCCTTGAAATCTCTGCAGAGGCCACAATCCTATCCATCCTAGGAAGGAAGAAGCCAAAGCACCGTGCAGAGATGTGGCAGGGCCAGTCCCATGAGCGGCTGAGTGTGCGTGGCATCAGGAACATTTGCTTCCAGCTCCAGACCCACTGCTCCGTGCTTAGCCTGTGCTGCCTCACCTACCTCCTGATGGGACATTTCACCGGCACCCGTGCCGTCAGATTCTCATTAGTCTGTCCTAGTTCTCGCTTAATCCAGAGAGTTCTACACTGTCGGCTGCCTTTTTCTCAGGCCCAGGAGCACTCGGAACTAGTCTTAACAGGCAGTGCAGCCCCTGGGTTCTTATCTGCCTTGGACCCAGCCCGCCAGCCTGGTTTTTCTTCTCCGAGGGCCCCATCTCACCGTGCGGTTCTTCCAGGCATTCCCCACTGGAACCCAGCCAGGGCTTCTGGAAGAGTCTGCTGGGGTGGCCAAAGGGAATGGCAGGGACGCCCTGCACGTCGTTCTGCTGGAGGCAAGCAAAGGGACTTTTATCACTTCATGCGGAGTTGTCCTTTCAATTCCCCGCGTGGAATGATCTTGCTAGGGATGGGTCTTTAACTTAAAGAGGAATTATCATTAATGAGGATGACAGTGCTGTCAGTGTTGTGACCTCAAGAATTAGGAACTCTTAGCGCCTCTATTTTGCACAAGAGAAATGGAAACGTGGGGAGGTTGAAGAAGAGCCCCAAGATTACAGAGTTAGGAAGCAGTGAACCCAGGCCTAGAGTCCCCATCTGCTTGCCTCCAAATCCATGTTTTTAGGGCTTCTTAGTGCCGTGGATGATGGCTAACCGGGAGCCTCCCCATCTCCGTAAATCATCTTCATATGGCTCCTGAGAAAATTCCTCTTTCCCACCCCACCCAGATCGATTTTTCACGTGGAACAAGCCAGTCCAGAATGGAGAGCAGGCACCCTCGCCATAGCACGAACTAGCTGCTGGGGCTCAGTGCTCATCTTTGTCTGTTTCTGCCTGTGGGAGAAATACGGGAAGAGATCGATTCACTACATGGTGATGGGTGTCTGTGGGTCCCTCCTCCGTGATTGGGTGTGCCGCTTAATCTGGAATTTGATTTCATTGATTGATTTTAAATCATTGTGTTTCATGTGGGTGGTACCTGGAAAACTGAAGCCGAATTCGTTATGGTGTTTGTATTCTATAATATTTGTTGGTTTTTAAAACTCAGTATAGATAAAAGAATGTATGCATAATGAAGACAGATTTGAACATCCAGGATGTTTATAAAAACAAAAGTTATTAGGAATAGTTAATCATGATCACTGTGACCACCTTTTGGAATCCTCCAGTGTGTTGGGTGACTTAAATGCGTAGTCTTACTTCTTACTTTTTTAAAGATTTTTTAATCTTTAAAAAAATGCATAGTAGAAATGTCACTGTCCCTATCTTAGAGACAAAGCACGTAGAGTTGAAATAATTTGACTGAGTGACATCAGCAAACTGAGTAGTGAAGGAGCGAAGGGAAGTGGATCCTTTGCCTGAACTTTGATTGGCAGGAGGTTTTGAGGTTGCAGCCATGGAACCAGGGCTGAATGTAGGTGGCAGGATGGAGAGCTGGTGGCCTTGGTCTGTTCCTCTGCGTTAATGAGAAGGATGAGAGCGTACTCTCCACCCCTCTGTGAAATGAGACGCCTGTACCATTTTAACCCACACCCAAGCAAGCTCATGTTTATCTTCCAAGTATGTCCCATTGTTTTTGTGCTGCTTGCTAATATTGCCTTGAAGGGCTCTAGTGACATGTTACAGATGTCCAGCATTTATTTGCCTGCCGTATCACCAAATGGCAGGAAGATGGAGGTGAAGTAGAATTCCAGAGTCACTCCGCTTACTCAAACTCCCAAGTGGAAAAATCCTTGAACCCCAGCTGAGCAGATTCCCCAATAAATGCCTTTATGCCCCAAGCGTAAGGTCATTGCTCTGTGTTTCTTAGGATCTAATTCAGTCTCTGGTCTCAGACCCTCTTTATCCCACACATTATCCTGGCACCCAGCTAAGGGCCTCTGAGTTTATGGATCTTAAAATCTGGGGGGGGGGGGCAGTGCCCAGAAGCAGCCAGGGCTCACAGTGGCGGCAAGTGTCTGGGGGCTTTTACCCTCCAGGTGACCGGCACCTGCATAGCATGACTTCTGCCCCCGTCCTCCTTTCCCCTCTATGGGGAGGGGGCGGGAGCGGCCTGAAAGCCACAGTGTGGCCCTCTCTCCCTCTTTCCAGAGAGCAGCATCTCTGTGGAGGTGGCCAGCAACGCCAGTGTCATCCTGGAGGGGGAGAACCTGCACTTCTCCTGCAGCGTCCGCACGGCAGGCCGGCCGCAGGGCCGCTTCTCCGTCATCTGGCAGCTCGTGGACCGGCAGAACCGCCGCAGCAACATCATGTGGCTAGACCGGGACGGCACTGTGCAGCCGGGCGCGTCCTACTGGGAGCGCAGCAGCTTCGGGGGCGTCCAGATGGAGCAGGTACAGCCCAGCTCGTTCAGCCTGGGCATCTTCAACAGCAGGAAGGAGGACGAGGGCCAGTACGAGTGCCACGTGACCGAGTGGGTGCGGGCTGTGGACGGCGAGTGGCAGATCGTCGGGGAACGCCGGGCCAGCACCCCCATCTCCATCACGGCTCTCGGTAAGGCAGCATCTGGTGGTCTTTCTGTGGGGCAGTGGGGAGACTGCTCCCCTGTCAAGAACCTCATCCTGACTTCCATCAGAGTTCTGGCAGGAAACGGTGGCACCTTCTGAAGGGTTTAATTGAAGGGCCTGTTACCAAAGTGTGGGTAGGGTTGCAGGGCCTTGGGGACTGGTGGCAGCTGGGGCACTTACCCTTCCTGGGTCCGCATGGAAGGAGTGAAGTTGGCAGAACTCTGGCCAGGGGATTGAGGCCACCCAGGGGATTGAGGCCACCCAGCAGGAGTGGTGGCCCAAGGTGGAGGAACGTGGCCACTGCCAAAACCGGCCACCCCCCAGAGCAGAGCCTCTCTCGCCTGCCCCCAGGCTCTCCTGCCCTGCAGCCCAGGGGCTCAGCCCTTCTCAAAAGGCCAGAGCAGCACATACAAGGGTAGAAAATACCTCTTTTCGCCTTTTATTTAGCATTTACTATGTTCCTGGCTGAGTCTAAGCACTTAAGCTCAGTTGTCCCTTTGAATTTTCACCTAGCCAAGGGCTAAACCCAATTTTACAAGGAAACTGAGTGAGAAGGGTTACCTCATATGCCCAGGGCCGCAGCTTTTAAAGGACAGACCCATCATCTAGACCAGGGAAGCCAGAAGTCTCTCCACTTTTCTTTCAAAGCCTGTGCTTTCATCTCTCCCTCTGTAAGGCACCTTCTTAGGAAAGCCACTTCCTCATTAGCATGAAATTAAAAGATACCTTGAGATTTGCTAAAACCAGAGAATTAGATTTGCTTCTCACGGGGCCGTGAAAGAGGCTTCTATCAAGTTTATCTGTCTAATACGATCAGCATATTAAATTGTAAAAGGCCAGTCAGCTACTTGTTGTCTTGTTAGGTCTTCCTGTTTATGAGGACAGTTGTGACATCAGCTGTCCTCAGTGGCTTTGTGTCCCACTCCCTGGGACTACATTGTCCACTCTCCTCATAAGTAGAGCTGGTGGCGCCTTTAGACACACACCCATAACGATGGTAGCCCCGGCTGGTTTTTCCCTCAATGGAAGATTACAAATATACCATCCACCCAAGATTACAAATACACTTTTTTCCCTAAAAGCTTAATCCCCAAGACTGGCCCGCTTCTTGCAGTCATCATATTGCTCAGATTTCCGTCTGTGGAAACTTCGTCCACTGGTTGAGTTTGCCCCCCGGCTCAGTCAGCACCAGTGTGGACCTTTGGGGATGCCACCTGTGAGGAAACGTCTGACTTTCCAGTCATGGTCATTTTTCCCCACATCATGAGGTTAGGGACATCCAAGGAGTGGTTAACATTTGTCCGGAGCACTTCTCCAGAGGTCACCTTACAGAATCCGCTAATCCCCTGAGAATTTTCCTTCTCACCTTATGTCCGTGGTTCTCACAGTCAGGGTCACCAGGGGCTCTGACCTGGGATCCCAGGGCTTGGTTCTACTTTCCTGTTCTCTACCTCTGAGGCGCCTCTGGCCAGAGCCATAGTTAGGGCGGCCCAAGGCGGGTAGGGCAGGGAGAGTGGAGGGCACTGTGGGGTCACGTTGCCTGTCAGTCTAGATCGTGACCTACATGAGTTTTCATATTGGTGCAGTTAGGTATGGCTGGCTCTCAGCAGGCGCCCCAGGAAGATGACAGGTGGGAACACCCTCCAGCCGCCCTGGCCCATCGTGACCATTCTGTTAGAGTAAGCCGGCTGCGCCGTGCTCTGTGATCCTGGCGTGTGCTCTGTCAAGCCTGGACAGAGTCCCTTGCCTGGAGAAGCTCTCTCCCCTTAGGGTGTTGAGGCCGGGAGCCCCTGGTGCATGGCCTCTCGCTGAGGTCCTATGTTCCCCCACCCTCAGGGCAACATATACTGCACGCAGAGACCCAAGTGACCACCACAACCACTTCAGGCTTAAGGCTGGGTCTCTGGGTCTTAACTTTTTTTTTAAAGGATACATAAAGATAGCTTATGAAATCCAAATTGAAAATCCAGAGTTTTCAGCAGATTATGCCGACCTGTTTGCTGTCTTAACCACCCCACACAAATCTAAAAAACTCATTATGTGCCTGGTCTTTTACCCACGGAATCTGAAGTACTTTCCTTTATGTGCATTTTGTTTCTTCAGCCAATGACATATATGACAGAATAGGGCGTGGGCCAGGTACTGTTCCATGCCAAGTACGTCGCAAAATATTAACTCATCTCATCCTCACAAGGACCCATTTTACAGGTGGGGAAGTCGAGGTGGAGAGAAGTGAAGTAACTTGCTGCTGTCACATAGCTGGAAAGTGTCACTGTCAGGCATCTGGCCCAGGGGTCTGTGCCTGTAACCCCTTCCCATGGAGAACACCGCTTACCTGCCCCTGGCTAGCAGCTTGACCGTGGGCAATCCATTTTACTTCTCCATGCCCCTTCCTCACCCATAAGAAATGGATGGTGCGCCTCCTTGTCCTACGAGGTCATTTTGAGGATTCAGTGAAGTGTGGCGGAAGCACAGCCATTGGCAGCATGCCTGGTGCATGGCGCTCCATAAATGCTGGCTGGCCCTGGTTTTATGATCACAACCATTGAATTAATGTTATGTAGTGTTTCAAGGTGAGGGAAGTCAGATAGCCCCCATTGAGGAGCTGGGGTCAGGGACTAGTCAGCTGGCCGTCCGTGAGGAGTATTGGGAGCCTCACAGCCTACTGTGACAGCAGAAGCCCACCTCACCCCAAGTCCCCCCTGCTCGAGGTCTGGCCATGTACTGTGGCTCCCTCACTGCCTATCTCCTTTGAATTTCGCAAGGAAAGTGAAAGAAGGGTGGGTGAGTGAACCTCCACTGCCTGGCCCAGGAACTTGGGACATGTCCTGCCACCTGACTTCATGTTCTCCAGCCCCGATGTGCTGCAGACCAGACAGGGGAGGCGTCGGGGCTGGAGGCTGTGTCCACCCTGCCGGCAATGAATGAAGTTGGCTTGGGGGCTTTTTTCTTCTGGGTTTTTTTTTTTTTTTTTTTTTAAGATTTTATTTTTTAGAGAGAGATAGCACAAGCAGGGGGAGCTGCAGGCAGAGGGAGAGGGAGCAGCAGACTTCCTACTGAGCGGGGAGCCCGATGCAGGCAGACGCTTAACTGACTGAGCCACCCAGGCACCCCTTTTCTCCTGTTTCAGCCTGGGATCCCAAGATTTCTAGGATGAGCTCTGCCTGCAAACCTCAGTTCCTGCGAGGGGACTGATGGGAGGCAGATGGAAATGAAGGTTTCACCCGGAGGGACTTGCTTAGTGCTGCTCAAGGAGAATTACCTCTGGCCTCTGTCTGCAGGGTCTTGTGACCTTCTGGGCTTGTGCTTCCAGGTGAGAGCCAAAGTAGCCGTGGTCCGGGCATCAGGAGAGACCCAGAGCCTTGGCGGTGCTCCGTTCTCTTGCCAGCAGTCCCATCACTGCGGCATGCTGCCCTGAGAAAGCCAGGTGTCCCCCCTCCCTCCCACAGCTGGAGTCTCTGCTCTCTCTGCAGAAATGGGCTTCGCTGTCACAGCTATCTCCCGCACGCCGGGCGTGACCTACAGTGACTCCTTCGACCTGCAGTGCATCATCAAACCGCACTACCCGGCCCGGGTCCCCGTGTCAGTGACGTGGCGGTTCCAGCCGGTAGGCACCCTCGAGTTCCATGACCTGGTGACCTTCACCCGGGATGGAGGAGTCCAGTGGGGGGACAGGTCCTCCAGCTTCCGAACCCGAACAGCCATCGAGAAGGCCGAGTCGAGCAACAACGTGCGCCTAAGCATCAGCCGGGCCAGTGACACGGAGGCGGGCAAGTACCAGTGTGTGGCCGAGCTGTGGCGGAGGAATTACAACAACACCTGGACGCGGCTGGCCGAGCGGACCTCCAACCTCCTGGAGATCAGGGTGCTGCAGCCAGGTCAGCAGCATGGGCTGGGGGCCTGCCACGGGTGCCAGCACGTGGGGACAGACAGGGGCCGCACATCGAGCCCTCAGTGGTCCTGCTTTGTAGCTGCAGAAATTTCAGATCTGTAGGCCGCTGCGAGAGGCCCGTTTGCTGGTCTGGCTTGTCCGTGGCTGACCTCTCACCCCCTTCATTTTCTCCCCGTCTTTGGTTTGGGTTGTTGTTTCCGAACCATTTGAGGGTCACTGGCAGGGGCCGGATCTCCTGCCTCTAGGTCCTCCAGTGTGTGCCTCCTAAGAACAGGGACCCTCTCCTGTCCAACCAGGACACTGCTGTTGGGCCCCGGGAATTCAACACCACTGCGGAATGCTACCGGCATTTCCCCTGTTGTTCCTATGATGTCCTTCATAGTTTTTCTTCTTTTCTTCCTTCCAAACCAGGATCCAGTCAGGGATTGCAAACCGCTTTTAGTTGTCTTGTCTTTTTAGACTCTCTTTACTTAATGTCATCTCCTAAATTCTTGCGACAGCACCATGGAGGAGGGACCATTGTCCCTTGTTGGCAGCTAAGGAATGTTGAGCGCGACAGGGAACGGGAGAGTCCCTTACTGAGTTATTTCCCTCGTGGCAGGTGCTTGGGGTCGCTGGTTTTATGAGCCTTTCACAAGCCCAGGAAAGACTATGACTCGCCCAGGGTCATGCAGCTGGTAAAGGGTGGACCCAGGGTTTGAATGCTTGTGTTTTTTCCCCCATGCCCTTTCCCAGGGTGGGAGAGGGGAGTGGTTGCTCCTTCATTGGACCCTTTTCCTAATGCATGGGAGGGGGTAGGTATCTGTGCTTTCCTGGTGTCCCTGGTGTGTGTCCCGTCTCCTCCTTGGCTGGAAGCTGGTGGAAGGTGGAGCCCAGGCTATGGGCCCAGCTTTCCTGCCATGGCCGCTGGGCCCCTGAGCAGGAAAGGGCAGGCACCTTCGTTGTGAAGGGTGGTGTAGATGAGACGTGACTTACAAAGACGACTTTCTGACTTTGTGACCCGCCCATTTTGCAAAGATGGTTTGAATGCCTTGCAAAGAGGACTTTTCTACCCACTCACCAACCTTTCTGCTCCACCACGTCATATGGTGATAGTGGTATTGTCTGAGCTCCCGCTTGGCCTCTTCTAACCCCATGAAAGCCCTGTTCTGCACCAGAGTTTGGAACAAGCAAGTTGTATGAATGATGGAAAGGGGTTCCTTGGGCAGTTACAGCCTAAGCCTGAGCAGCAAGAAGCTCAAAGAAGATGCTGTGCTGCTTAAGTAGATTTTTGGGTTAATGGAGGGTTAAGCAGAGACCCCATTTTGTATGACTTCTTGTTGTGGAAATGCTGAGGGACACACTTGCCTGTCTCACTGACTAGGACATTCTAGTTGTAATTGTGCATTTTGTGGTCTCCTCGGGCTCTCAAGCTCGCTGTTGTGAGCCACGGCGCCCGTCACATGATTCTGCAGCTGTAGAAGGTAGGCTCGGTGCCTAACATTGCCTTTTTGAATCATTTCCTAATACTTGCTTGCTTCTGTCCCTGCTTGGAATCTAAGGCTGGAGCACGTAAGGAATGGCTCAGGAATTAGCTCAGCAAAGATTCCAGTTATTTGGATTTCGATGAACTTATGGTGTTTCTAAAGAGAATAAGGGGTAGAAATGTGTTAAGTTCCTCTTGGGAGCCAGGCTTTGTCCTTACTAGCACCTATGTGAAAAATTCATCCAACACTGAAACGATGGAGATGTTTGTATCCCTGTTGTGGTTTCTCTGCAGAGAAACCCAGGCTCCCAGTAACTTAGGAGGCACGATGGCAGTGAACCAGCTTGTCAAGTGGAAAACCGAGCTTGCCAGGGCTGGTGGGCCTCGATCTTCTCAGCTTCCAGCGGTCTCTCCATTTTCCATCACACCATCTCATTCCTCCTGGGTGGAAAATGTAGCTGGAGAGCTAGGGGTGAGGGTCTGCTCTGAGGCCTGTCTTAGGTCTCTGTGGCTTGTGCCGAACTAGTCTGTGGAGCGAGAAGGGGCAGCAGTGGCGCAGGAGCCTGTGGGGAAGGGCTGTGGGCCACGTGGCCTGTGCTCCGAGGTGAGCAGTGTTGTGCCCCCTCCTCTGCCAGGTCCTCTGGGGGCTGCAGAGAGCCTGGTGGGTGCTGGGGCCACACACCACTGCCCAGGGAGTGGCTGATGCACGAGCGTGAGTCCATCCCTCTTAATGTTACCATCCTCCTCTATTAAATATTTATGCAGTTAGCACTTCACCTTTCCCAAAGAGCTCCATGGTCGTTTCTTCCCTCCCCCCCCAACTCGGGTTGGTTCTGAGCCTTCATGGTGGGGGGTGGGGTAGGCAGGGGAAGTAGAAGTGGAAAATACCAGAGGGCTGACTGTGTCAGACACTTGGCGTGTGTGATCTCGTGTCTTCTTCACCCGCTACCCTGGGAGGAGGCTCTTGCTGTCACACTTTGTCAATGAAGTCACTGAGGCTCACAGAGGTTCTGACTTGCCCAAGTCAAGTAAGTGGTGTGGGCGGGGGAGGTTGGGATTTGAACCCATGTGTGCCTTGTTAAAAAGCAGTGGGGTTGGATGATGAAAGGGGGACTTTAACTTTCTTTAAGGCCATATCGTCAGAGATCATACTTAATGCATTGAGTTAACAACCTCATTAATAGAAGTTTATCTTTGGAGCTGGCTGACAGGGAGTCTCACAGCACAGGTGGTTGTAGCAGTGAGAATAGTGACAACGACACAGCAGCTAATCTTTATGGAGCGTTTCTTGTGTGTGTTCGTCACCAGCCTGAATGCTTTAGATGCAGTAGCTTCCTTGGTTCTCACAATACCAGGTTTCACCCATTTTATAGACGAGGAATGGACAGACATTAAATAAATTATCCAGTGATCCATAATAAGAGGCAGAAGCAAGATGCAAATCCAGACGGGCAGTCTGGCTCCACAACCCAAGCTCTTAATTTGATTATATGGCATATTTTCTAGGCAGTTTTTTTTTTTTTTTTTTTTTTTCTTCTCAGGGATCCTCTTCAGTACCAGGTACTTTTATTTGACTTCACCTCTCTCTGGTTTACCATCCGTGATTTCCTGACACCCATTAGTAGATACTTCAATTTGTTTTTTTCAAGTTGGGGCCATGAGGTGCCCGTAGAGGTTCTAGTCTGCCAATGGTGAAGGATTTTTTTTTAAAAAGATTTTATTTATTTATTTGACAGAGATCACAAGTAGGCAGAGAGGCAGGCAGAGAGAGAGGAGGAAGCAGGCTCCCTGCGGAGCAGAGAGCCCGACGCGGGGCTCGATCCCAGGACCTTGGGATCATGACCTGAGCCAAAGGCAGAGGCTTTAACCCACTGAGCCACCCAGGCACCCCATGGTGAAGGATTTTAACTGATGTCTCCTCTAACGCCCGTTTCTTCAAACTTCTGCCACAAGATGGCTCCTAAGACTTGGGGATACCAGAGCTCAGAACCAGCCTGGGCTTCTCTTCTTTTTGCTCTCCCTCCAGTCCTTGCCCCTCAAAACAGTCCTCTTATCCCTGCTCTGGTGTTTTCCATCGAGTGTCCCCCCACCCAACACCTGCCGCCAACCGCTTTTAAGAATATTTTATAAAATAATCTGGGACACGTGGGTGGTTCAGTTGGTTGAGCAGCTGCCTTCGGCTCGGGTCACGATCCCAGCATCCTGGGATCGAGTCCCACATCGGGCTCCTTGCTCAGCAGGGAGCCTGCTTCTCCCTCTGCCTGCCTGTGCTCGCTTTCTCGCTCTCCCTCTCTCTGACAAATAAATAAATAAAATCTTTAAAAAAATATATTTTATAAAATACTCTTATTCCAACAGAATCACAGAGAAACCCAGGGACTGTTGGCTCTCTCGTGCTGGTCCATGTGTCAGCCTTTCACTGTTCATGACACCTCCCAAAGGGCTCTGTGTGATCTGTGCCCCAGACCGGTCCTTGCCAGGGCCACCTGCTGGCCTGACCACATCACAGGTATTTGATGCATTAAAATCTCTGGCTGGATGGCACGATCGATCGTGGATCTATCACTGACCATTCTTTTTTACCTACTTCCTGCTCCATCTGTGCGTCCCCAAGGAGATCTTCGAGGAATGGCATCACTCCCATTTTGTTGATTTAGATTAGCCTGACTCCCATCGATCACAGAATGTGACCCCCATGGGGCATTTAGGCAAAACTTTAAGCCAGTTCAACAAATTCGATTCCTTGCTCTTAATCAATTCTTTTCTCTTTTAATTTCCAAGCATTGCTTTGCTTTCTTCTGATTTTCTTTAGCACCAAAAAAACACCTCCAATCACATATTCCTAAATACAGAAGCAATAAGGGAAATGTCAGCACTCATTTTCCAAGTGTTTATGACCCTCTCTCGGTCTGGCTATTAAATATTGCACATTCAGATTGACAAAGCTATAAACAAGCTTCCAAGAGGAGAGCCTCCGGTGTAGAAAGCCGACTTGTCAGTGGGTGTATTCTGCTGGGATTTTACTGATGGGTAGTCAGGATGAATATTTAATACCCTGTGGATGCTGCGAAATCCGTTTTCTCCAATTTCTTATTGCTGACCTGGCAGATTGGGAGGGCTGAGTGCTTTTTTCTTTGACTTGCATGGGTCCAGGGCATATGAACAGTGGCTGTCCTTGTCACAGTCTGGTAAGTGACAGCCTGCCTCATCCCAAGTGGGAGTGGCCCCTGCTTTCTTTCAGGAGAAGCTGAGGTTCATTCTCCTGACATGCCGGGTGCATGTGGCTTCTGCCTGCTGGGGGCTCAGAGACAGTGAGCAGGAGCGCCAGAGCCCTAGGGGAGTCCCCCAGCCCTCCCCCACCTCCTCAGGCCCCGTTGTCATGGTGACGCCAGGTGCACCTGTTTGCAGTCGGCATGTAAGGGTCACTGCTCTGCCTGCAGGCAGGTAAGACAGACAGGGCATGTCTGGGTGACTCCTCATTAGCTGCTTCCGCTTCCAAACTTTTGCTGCTTTCTCCTCGC